TCCCGACGCTCTCTAGCGTCGAGTTCCAACCGCAGTGCGTCAGGAACCCGCCCACGGACCGGTGGGCTAAGACTTCGGCCTGCGGGGCCCATGATGGAACCACCAGGCCTCGATCGCGCGTGCGAGTCACGAACCCTTCAGGGAGATATTCCGGCGTTCCGTCCCTAACGCTGCCGTTGTTGACCGCAAAAAATGCGCTGAACGCTGAGCCGTCAACAGGTGGTCGGACCACCCAGACGAAACGTTGTCGGCTCTGTTCGAGACCCCAAGCCAGCTCTGTTAGCTGCTTGGTCGACAATGAGCCGCCGCTCCCGAATGATATGTAAAGGACCGACTCATCCGGTTGTTGGTCTAACCAGTCCAAAATCGGGTGGCTATTTTTCGACGGTTCGACTGGTCTGCAAAGCGGACCGATCGGATAAACCGGTACACGGGCAATCCGACCGAGGAGTTTATGGTCCTGCAGAGATTTCAACGATTTGGGCTCCATTTCCTCCCATGTATTCACCAAAATACCATCTGACGTCGTAAAAGCCTGACCCATACCGATCATCTCGCGGTAAAGTGGGCTGGTCCGGTCGAGGTACGCGTCGAGTGTATCCTCAAACCGAACCGGTTCACAACCCGGAATTGCGAGCGGTTTGCTCTGGTTTACGTGTTCTTTTTCCATGGCTTCGTCTATCGTTGGGAAATATATAGCCACCGCCAGGAACCGAGCGTTGGAAGCTATCAAGACATACTTCAACATGTCGAACTCGTCGGCGAGACGTAGGGCCTCGGTGCCGAACAAGTCCACGATGAGAGCCGTTGGTTTGTGTTGCATCGCCTCGATCTTTGACCGGAGGGCCGGTACGGTCTCTCGCATCATGGCCGCGATCTTGATACCCACATGGGCCGAGGGGTCGACTATGGCGGAGATGTCCGGCGAGGGAATGCCAACGACGTTGACGAGGGCCTCCTCGGAGTTCAGGAACTGGGACTGAGCTGATGCCGCGTCAGCTTCCAGGACGTAGACGGTGACGTGGAAGCCATGATCGGAGGCGAGACGCTTGCCCAGCTCGATCACAGGGATGACATGGCCCATGCCGGGGCTTGCGAGCATGGCGGCGCGTGGTTTCACAGCCTGCATGGCTTTGGTGGTGATTAAATATTTGCCTTTTTTGTGTTGAGGAGTGAGCGTGGTGTTGCATGGGCTTATGTGGGGACTATTTATAGCCATTTTGGTGAAGCATATAGAAAGATACCAGGCTCAACCTAATTAATCTTATTTTTCAAAATTTTCACTTTTATTTGTAAATCCATTCAAGCAACTTTAATGGCATTTATTGCAGACAGGTTATATGGCCAGAAAAAATTAGAACTTGCAATCGGTTGAGATATAATTAGTCGATAGTGAAACATAAACACACTACATATGGTGAAATAGAATCGGACAATGTGAAAATTTTTATAACCATTTACATTTCTTTGATAGTTTATAGTATTTAAAAATATAAATCCCAATAAATTTTGCTTATTTTGTGGTCCCAAAAAATAATGCTGTATTAACCTTGAACACCACACCAAATAATGTCCATGACATGATCTTGATTATGCAAAGAAATCGACATCCAACTAAACTAATTTTGATATAAATGTTTTGTTACAATAAAAAAAAATACATAACTAGTGTTGTTGGCCCAATTTTAAAGGTTATATACGTGGGTGTCCATCAAATAAATTTAGCTTAGTCGACGACAAATATGATTAATTTCAATATAATGCCGAATATATATGAAATAATCAAATATGATGAATCCAGTCATTTATACCAACTAATGAACATAGTGGAAAATGGTTTAGTTAACTTTGTAACCACCGAATATATACATAGTTTTTTTTGGTAAGGTATATATATATATATAGTTATTGTCTCTAATTGAATGATAAATCAAGTACTGAACATTATATATATACTTAATTCCATATTCCAAATGAGTAATTGGAGGTAGAATATTAAGCTAGACAATTTATGGTGGGTATAAGTAGATTATTAACATATTTAGAGTCTGATTCTTGGTAACAAATCATATTATTACCGGACAAAAATCCCCGCCTCACACCCCGTATACAAAGAAAAACATTATTCTCTTGTGCATATGTTAATAATTCATTGGGGTTTCAATATATTTTTGGTCATATAGATTTTAATTTTCGCATTAGCCGTCGATAGATGATATAATATTGGCGCTTACAAACGTCTATCTACCACAGCCACACCCCTCCCCTGTCCTACGCCAATATGTATGTATATATGTGACAGAGTATGGATGTACATAACACGTGCATGGCCTCGATTTAAGCATCTTATGCAAATTAAATTACCACCGTATAGTCTTAATCACGCAAACGATTCCAACTCGTATCTATCAATACATACATGCCTCTGTGTGTATACGGAAAAATATACCGACGATATTTTTATATTTCTAACTGTTCCTTGAACCCTGCAAAATCAAATTTGCTACTTTATGATCTGTTCCTATAATACTGCATGATTGGTAAACGCCAACACAGGTCATATATATATATATATATATATATATATATATATATATATATAATTCGTTTTTTTCTTTATCTGCTAACTCTTTCTACTTTATGTTTGTTGTTTGTTCGAGTAGACCCCATTCAACTTGATATTTGTATAATCATTCATGTAATATGATTTTTTTCCCGTCGACTTTGGGCGAGTATCGTGCCAATTGGGCTGGAAATATTAACAATTGACGGTCCATGCGCGGCACCTTAGGCCGTGGTGTCGTGTCAATCTGGTTGGTTCGGGCTACTCGAGTGTTGGACAAAGCGGGTTGCATGTATCAGCAAATTGACGAACCTATGCATTACCCAAATCATGAAAACGATGAAAGGTATGGACCGAAAATTAAAATTTAAAAAAAGAAAGAAACGATAATATTAAATGGTTAAGATGATTAATTATAATCAAAGATGATTTGGCACCGAACTTTGTCGCTTCAATCTTCTAGGACCCTCATATTATATTTTGTTGCATTTTCTCCGGAGTTATGTAACAGATTCCCCGCTATCTGTAACGATGCGAAATTAATCACACTATAAAATGGCTGGTCAAAACTTGAATAAGAATAAGCCAAACTCATGCTTACGTTAATCTTAAATAATTTCAATTTTTTTTTGTCACGTTCCAAGTTTCTAGAGCGCAAACGCGACACGAAATTCAACGCTGACGAAGATATAAAGACAATGTCGAGAAGATAATATTTAACAAAAATTATTAATATGACGGTTTTCCCGCTAATGTATTCGTATGTACGTGGCATCATATTTCACTTGAAGAAATCTCTAAACGAACAGTTTTTGACAACTGATTTAAAGTTATAAACGAGTGTTTAAATATTTATTTCGTGATTAAATTAGCTACGTATATATAATCACACGAAGGAAAATATATGGCAACATTTTTAAGGTTAATTGTTTTTCAATTAATGTAAATTTTCAATGCGATATCAATTTTTAGTTTAAAACTAATCAAAACAAGAATAATAGTCCCATCTGATATCGTCTTCATTTTTCCCCCAACTTTTTTTTTTGGTATAATTAGGATTAGGTTTAAGAAACATTTTAGTTCGATCATAATAGTAACAACTAATATGTCATCATACCTTGAAATCTAACCCATGGGTGGTTGATTTTAATATTTAAATGAACGGGAAATGGTTACAAATTTTTAATGAACAAGTTGTCATCAATTTTTTTTTCTCATCATGTTTATTATTATTTTTCATTATTAATTGTACAATATAAATCCAGAGTTGGCGGGGTGGCCCAAAAAACAAAAACAAAGCCGCAGTGGGTTTTTTTTTTGTAGATCTATTTACTTGTAAAGCATTGATTCACAAATGGATTATTTTTTCTTTTAATTTTTTCTTGGTTTACATGACGTCAATATGTCACACAATGTTGTAAAGTACCCTAGGGAAAACCGCTATGACGTGAGATGGGCATGGTTTTTCCTCCTTTAAACAAATTGCATCTTTGAACTTCATCAGAGACACCGCACCAATGTTCTTTTTCTGTTTAAATGGTTACATTATGGTCAAAGGGCCGTATAGATATATGTCCGATATGGGCCGATTGAAAAATTATCTTCAGTGCAGTTGAGGCCCATTATGGCCCATCTTGGTCCGTCGTATATTAATCTTTCAACGGCCCTATCTCACATTTAGCGCCTTTCATTTTATTGGGTTATCTTCTATAAGTATAATTTTTTTTTTTTTTACAACTGTGATTTAAAATATTTTCCCCATGCTTAATATCATTTCTACGTGATTATGTAAATGCGGTCCATTTCTAGACTTTTATCACAACGAATTGTCTGGTTCTATTTGAGTTTGTAACCAAAACCTTATACATATAGTATATTGGTTTGTTTTTTCCTACTTTTTTTATTAGGAAATTTTTTTATGTCGTTTCATTAATTACCTTTAAGATTGCAAAAGGTAGGGGCAAAAGACATGATCTAACCCTTCGGTGGGGTGCTACTATTATTGTTCTCGTGAGTTTGGAGTGATCAGGACAACAAAAACCAACATTTTTTGGCACATGGACGGTTTCTTGCAACTGTATATTGTAAAACTCTCAAGGATAAGGCATAAAGACCGCTAGGGGTAAGATCATAGATAAGATAGTAGCAGAGGTTTGATAATGGACCGTCATTGTCAAAACGAGAGTCAATTCAGAGACGTACGAATTAAAAAGAGGGCGGATTCAGAGGTAATCACGCGAGAGATGCACATGCCTCCATCAAGACCAAACCACACTCACAGGAGTGGGCCCCATGTCGAGTTGAATAACTCCGGCTTCTCATTCATTAATTGGAACAGCGAATCTTAAAAACTACATGAAAAAGTAGATGTACATATAAGAGTAGACGGCCAACACTAGGAGGAGCTAAAGGTTAAACGGGAGGCACGGCTCAAGTCAAAGTGGCCGGTCATCGAATCGAATGGATGTGATTTACGTTAATGCCCTTCTTAATCAACCACGAGCTTTAGGGTTTCCTAACGTCAGCTCCAAGTCGTCTACAGCGACCTCGTGAATCTTCTCCCCCTCCCATGGCTTCACCGAGTCGCCCCCGCTCTTATTGACGAGGTTAAAAGTCGGAGACGGCGGACCGGACGGAGCCTGAAAACAGAACCATCTACCCGAATCCACCGTCGAAACGTCCGACTCGTCGCATTCGGGAATCGCGGTGCGATTGAGACGACGCGTCGGGCTTGACGGGGCGGAGACGGCGAAATTACTGATTCGCCATCGGGGTAGTACTTTAGGGGTGGAGCCTCTGGGCGAAGAAAGCGGGGGAGTGACGGGGGCGCTGTTGGAAACTCGGAGAGGAGGGAGATTCCTGGAGGAAGCTAGGGTTCGGAGGTAGGGGATGAGGTAGGCCGACGGGTTGGGCTCGAACCGGGTCGGGCTCGGGTACGATGACGAGGCCGGGCTTGCGTTGTACGAAGGAACCGGGCTTGGAAATGACGAGGATTGTGGGCTGGGCTGAACCGATGAGCACGCGCTCACGCGCGGTGGTGTCGCGCCCGTTCCCTCCGCCTGCTTTGGTCTGCACCCCTGTTTGTTTCCCGAGAAAACTTTCAGAATCGTGCCGGAAAATTGCCAGGAAATCAAGCTAAAGAAAAATATTTGGAGAGCGATGCCGTATATGGATCTAAAGAAAACCGAACATGCCGATCTAAAAAGCAAAAAACTAACAACAAAAAAATTAAGATTTTAGAAAAAGGAAGAACCTTTCGGTAGGTGGTGCCGTCGTCTTCGACGATCCAGCCGGCTTCGGAGCAAAGGGCTTTGAGAACTTCGTTGTTGTCACAGTGCTTTGGGAGTTTGAAGTTGCCCTGAGCTCTGAGTCCGGCGAAGATCTTGGCCGCTACGGCTCGCCGGCGACGTTCTCTCCTCTTGTTGTTCTCTCTCTCCTTCCACGTCGGGGTCCTCCCCGCCGCCGCCCCTCCTTCTCCCGCTGCCGTCATTCTCTCTCTCTCTCTATCTCTCCGTCTTTACCCTTTTTCTGTCTTTTTCTGGTGTAGTTTTTTTAGTTCGTGTTACGTAATTCTCGAGGGGAGAGACGGGGTTTCCTTCACGAGGGGATGATTGAAAAGGAGAAAGCTTTTTGTTATCGGGACTTCGTAAATAATTTAATGGGAACGGTGTTTTAATACAATGCAGGAAAAGGAGAGATCCATTTGCTGTTCGCCCTTGTCTCCTATTCGTTCACACATCTTATCTATATATATATATATATATATATATATATATATATATATATATGAAATGGGTGAAACATATATCCCAGACAAATCTTTTGCTAATGTTTGTATTCATACGGGATATATGAAGATTTCGTAGATTAAACTATTTACGGATCACATACACTGTAAAGAACATGTGAAGAGAAGGAAAATAGGCTGCTGAATCGATGACCTCACTACTGCTTAAAAAAAAGCTTGATTTGGAATCTGACAAATGACAATGCCTGCCCGGTGAAAAAAAAATTGATCCATTTCGATCTTCGTTTCTCAACCGTACGATCAAATCGAACGGTCACGATCCGACGGGTATGAAAGCGTCTGATAATCTATGTCACGTGGCAGAGGAATATTACACGCGGTAAGAGAGGGAGAGATGCCCTTTGTGGGACTCCGGTAATTGTGAACGATGATGTTCACTTTGAACGTTCAAAACTAAGGCCGGTGGGTCCCGGCCGACACATGTGACGCTCCAGTGGATGTGGGACCGGTTCGGCTCCACACGTGCGACACAGAAACTGTAACTTAAAATTACTGTTTCGCTAGAAACTAAAATAATTTTTGATTTTCAGTGCTCGATGAAGTGGGCCCCAGGGCCTTGCGAGCATTGACAAGCACGTGATTGTGGGGCCCATTTAACTTTTTAATTTTCGGTTTGCAATGTTTAAATATTACAATATTATCTTTTCTTCGTTTTGATTATTATAAGGCGATTTCTACCCAAAAATAAAATAAAATTATGTATCACCTGACCCAACCCAAAAAGCCCTTTATGGGCTTAGTTCCTGGGCTAAAAGTACTAAATATCTGCGCTTAAAAATAAAAAAATTGGAAATCGCCAAGTGAACCGGACCCATTCTTTACGGACCTTGGTTTATTAGTTCCATACTTAAGCCCATAATTGTTTGAAACCTAATTTGTAGGCCACAAAACTTTAAGCCCAAACTTGTTTAGGCCGATAACACTATGAAGCCCAACCTTTTTTAAACCTTTTTTTTTTTTTGTAGTACTCGTAATTTGATCAACGTTTCGATTTAGCTTTAACAAAACGGTATTAGTCTTCAACGGGCAAGGGTGTGCTACGATCGACTTCGGTTCTGCCTGCTTCCCCTCTGGTCGTCACTCTACACCAGGGAAAAACCCTAGTGTCTGAAAATGGCGAAAGTCTCGAGCTTCATCGCAGTGATCTCTCTCCTCTTGCTTCCCGCACTATGCCTCTCGTTCTCCGTTGAGAATCCGACGGATCGGCGTTTGTTGGTTCTTCTTGACGATCTTTCACTCAAATCCTCTCACTCCATCTTCTTTAACTCTCTCAACTCCCGTGGATTTGGACTCGATTTCAAGCTTTCTGAAGATCCGAAGCTTGCTCTTCAACGTTATGGGCAGTACCTGTACGACGGATTGATCATTTTCGCCCCGTCAACGGACCGTAAGATTCTCGATCTGTTAGTTTGCCTGGCCTACATTTTTGTTTTTGCGTGTGAAATGGATCGATTAGTGTGGCGTTTTCTCGGTTAGGGTTTGGGGGATCTCTTGATTCGAAATCTATCGCGGATTTCGTTGACTCCGGTCGTGACTTGATCTTGGCGGCTGATGTCTCTGCATCTGATTTGATTCGGAGCATTGCCACCGAATGTGGAGTTGATTTCGACGAGGTTGGTCCATAGTTTGTGGGCTTTATTCCGAATAATATGTGAGTTGGAATTTGGCTTGTTACTGTTTTTTGTTCCGTAGGATGCGTCAGCTATGGTTATCGATCATTCTAGCTACGCGGTCTCTGATATTGATGGAGATCACACCTTGATTGCTGCTGACGATTTCGTTAAATCCGATGTGATTTTAGGGAAAACAAAAATTGAGGTAAATTTCTTGTTTGTGTGTCTTACGATTCGACTTCTTCGATAGAATGTGATTGACGTAGAATCTTGTTACTTGGGTTCTGAATTTCAGGCTCCTGTGCTTTTCAGAGGGATTGCACATTCCTTGAATCCTGCCAACAATCTGGTATGACTTGGTTGTTTTCCATTTTCACCATGAACGTGCAGTTTTGATGTAACTTGTTATCAATGGTTATGTTTCGCCAACGCATGGCTTCTATTCCATATAAGGTCTTGAAAGTCCTATCAGCCTCTCCCTCGGCATATTCTGCCAACCCGAGCTCGAAGTTGTCAAGTCCTCCACAACTCACTGGATCTGCTATCTCTTTTGTCTCTGTCATGCAGGTGAACTCTCTCCCTTTCTCTATGTATCTATCTCTCTTTCTTGCTGATACACCTAGTATGCCCACTCCAGAGCACCTAGAAAAAGTAGAAACTCGTACATGGATAAGCTAATGTGCCTGTGGAGTTACATTTTCTTATCTGGCCCTTTCACTTTCCACTGCTCAAGCATCTCCATGACAGTGGCTTGAGTTCAAATCCTGAGATTCTGATGCATAACTAACAAAACTGCAGGCCAGAAACAATGCCAGGGTCATGGTGTCTGGCTCTCTGCAGTTGTTTAGCAACAGGTTAGCAGATATATGAAGCCTTCCCAACTACTCATTATTCCATCTGCATATAGATGTTCAGTCTGAGTGTTTCTTTTCTCCTTTTTATGTGAGCCAGGTTTTTCAGATCAGAGGTGCAGAAAGCTGGGAGTCCAAACAAGTAAGTGGGCGTATGTTTCATCTGTTAGCTACAAGCGAGACTTTCAGATGATCATCATCAGTTCATGTGTACTTTAACTTTTTAGGAAGAGGATGGCTGATCTTATGTATGGCTTTGTGTTGCAGATATGGAAAATCTGGTAACGAGCAATTTGCCACTGAACTAAGCAAATGGGTATTCCACGAGAGGGGGCACCTGAAGGTTATAAGCTTTTTGATATTTTCTTTAGTTTCTCACACAATGAAGTTCACAAGTTTAATCAGGATTGATACATACATAATAAATTCATGAAGTAGCTAGATGTGTTTTTGTTCCATTTTTTTTTTACTTCTCATGCTTGGAGATGTCCTATCCTTCATGTGTGTGTGTGTATATATATATATATCTATTATCTTATGGTTGCAGGCTGGAAATCTTGTGCATCATAAAGCTGGGGAGAGGGATGAGCCGGGAATGTACAGAATAAAAGATGACCTGGTATGGCTTCTACACTGCATATGATAGGATAAAACCAGGTTTCATGACGCACTGCTGAGAGAGGGCCCTGAATTAATTAATATGATACAATTCAACTGCAGGAATTCTCAGTGGAGATACACGAGTGGTCTGGGAAGAACTGGGAACCGTATGTGGCTGATGATGTGCAGGTTCAGTTCTACATGATGAGCCCGTACGTTTTGAAAACCCTGTCAACAGACAAAAAGGTAGTATTCCTTTTTTATATTGTTGTTATTCCGGGGAAGATGATGTATTCTATTTCGGGGTTAGTCTAACCTGTATTGGGAAAATGCGCAGGGGGTGTATATGACATCATTCAAGGTTCCGGATGTGTATGGCGTATTCCAGTTCAAGGTTGAATACGAGAAACTTGGGTACACTTCTTTGTCGCTGTCAAAGCAGGTCAGTCAGCCCCTCGATCAATCTAATCTCTCCAGACTCGGGGATATGCTTATGTAAAACTGATTGAGTGAGTTTGGTCCAGATCCCTGTGAGGCCATACAGACACAACGAGTACGAGAGATTCATCACAACCGCTTATCCCTATTACGGAGCTTGCTTCTCCACTGTAAAACCCTCTATTCCCCTCCCTCTATCCCTATGTCTCGCGCACACATGGAACAGGGGGTTCTGACGTGTGTCGTTGTCATTGGTTTGTAATGTGCAGATGGCTGGATTCTTGGTCTTCAGCTTTGTCTACCTCTACCATAAGTAAGGCCTCTTATTGAAAGTAATTTTCTCCACCGGATGTTCCTAGAATTAGCTTATGCGTGTACTTGCAGACTGATAGTGTTTCAGAGTACGTTTTTATTTTATAAAAAAAAATCGGATTCGCATGGTAAGAACTAAGAAGAAGCTCGAGTTCGTTGATGAGGTCAGAAACATAAGGGTTGGGTTGCTTGTTTCAAGTGGTCTTTCGATGGCGTATGCAAATACGTCAAGGTCCCAATGGTCAAATCTTGCACAAAACACACTCAGTTAGGTATCCATGAATTCTTCTGCTGACGCTACAATATCTTTTTGTGTTGATTAATAATAACCTCACATCTTCAGACCAAGAACAATACACAAACCCTAGCGTCTTTAAGGAAACTGCCTTTTTAAATTAGTCTACAAATTTAAAAAAAAAAACCATAAACATGATATAGCTTCATTGATCATTCAAATTTATATTTTACAAAACCACAAACTTATAGCTAAAAAAAAAAAATCAAACTATCCACAAAGTAAAATAAAATATAAAAACATTTATCCATTATTATGTTTTAAATCCTTTTAAAATAATAAAACGTTAATATTTATTTTGTTTTATTAATAATAAATTCTTAACAAATAATTATATACAATTATTAAATTAATATATTATATCAATAATATATTTATTATTTTATCATTTTAAATATTAATTATATATAATCATATATTATTTTATAATATTATTATTTCTTAATAGTTCGATCATTTAATTGAAACTGTAGTTTTTTAGATATTCTATATGTTATTATAATTTAATATTTTTTATTATTTAAATAAATAAAGTTTGATGTCAAGTAACTTTTTTTTGGATATTCTCAAATTTGAAATTCATTTATATTTATAAGTAATTAAAGCTTTAAAGGAAATTTTTGTAAATTATAATTTGTTTAGATATTTTACAAAAAATAATTGCGTTTGGACTTGACTCACTGTTGATTGGGTGGAAGAGGTCAACGTTGCAATGTGGCTGCATCAGTCACAGAAGTTACTCCGATGCTTCCTTGCCTCTCTTCACCTTCCTCCCATCTTCCACTTGTCCATTCCCAAACTCGTCTTCCCTTGTATCTGATCCCAGTTCAGGTACTTTGTTCTCTTTTCTCTTTTCTGTTTTGGTTTTGGATCAGATTTTGTTCAGATCAGGCGCAATCCCAGCAGCAGGTTCTTCTGAAATCTCTGGGTTTTGCTCAAACATCGTCTGCAGGTCAGTCTTTTGGGAATTGTCTGATGTTCCCGGGATTCTTATCCAAATCCAAAACTATGGAAGACAAATCCATTTACAGCAGCAACAGAATCAACACGTCACCCATCAAACCGATCCGTACCGACATGGGTTCCATCTACTCAGCCGATCTGAGTTCTTACAAGTCAGCGTGTAGACAAGACCCCGACTTGAGATCCTTCGACTCATCGCTTCACCTACGCACAAACCGAGTCATCAGCTCGATCGCCTCCCGGGCCGAATCCCAGTCTCTGTCCTTCGACTCGCTCATAGACGTCTCCGGATGTCTTCTTGAAATGAACCAAGAGGTCGTCAGGTTCATCATTGAAAGCAGAGAAGACGTGTGGGAAAACAAGGAGCTGTCATCTTTGGTGAATGCTTACTTCGACAGTACGATAAAGACCCTAGATTTCTGCAACGCTGTGGAGAATTGCGTAAGAAGAGCGAGGGTAAGCCAGATGATTATTCAGTTCGCTGTGAAGCAGTTCGAGATGGAATCACTAGACGTTGATAGAGGAAACAACAAGTACTCCAAAACGTTGGAAGAGCTCAACAAGTTTAAAGCGGCGGGTGATCCGTTTGATGAAGATTTCTTTACCCTGTTCGAATCTGTCTACGAACAGCAGATTCTGCTTCTGGATCAACTTCATAAGCAAAAGAGGAAGCTTGATAAGAAGATGAAGAACATAAAAACGTGGAGAAAAGTGTCGAACGTTGTTTTCATGACAGCCTTTGTCTCTGTCCTGATCTTCTCGGTGGTTGCAGCCGCTGTGGCTGCACCGCCTGTTGTGACTGCAGTGGCCGCTGCATTGGCTGTTCCCATTGGCTCAGTGGGTAAGTGGTGTAACTATCTGTGGAAGAAGTACGAGAGCTCTGTTAAAGGGCAGAAAGACATCGTCCTGTCGATCAAGATTGGGGCCTTTGTCACCATAAAGGACATGGACAACATACGGATACACGTGGACAAGTTGAAGATAGAGATGGAGTCCATGTTGCAGAAAGTGGACTTTGCCCTCAAGGAGGAAGAAGATGTAGCTGTAAGGCTTGCGATCCACGAGATTGGCCGGAAGTTAGACGCTTTTGCAGAGAAAATAGAGGAAGTGGGCGAAAATGCAGCAAGGTGTAGCAAAGATATCACATTGGCCAGAACCATTGTTCTAAGGCATATCCTCAGCTTCCCCTCCAGTTCAAGCTTAGAACAAGGGAACTGGTAATTAACTCTTGGTTTCTAAGGCGTTCTATGTTATTTCAGTTTTCGGAAGTTTGAATCTTTTTCCATCTTTTTGGCCAGGATTGAGGAGGTGACATTGTGAAGGATTGTAAAATGTTCTTTGCGAGGAGGTTACTTCTTACTCGATGCTTATATATTCACAATAGTTTTTTGCAGAGATCTCAATGTGTTCAATTATGTAACCAGTGCTGTACAATTTGTATTGTCAGTGATAATTCTTAAAATGGAAATAAAACCAAATTACGAATCTTTGCCTCTTCAACACAACTCAAACTCACTGCATGAAGATCAATTCAAGTTTACAGAATCTTATGTCTGAGATTCACTCCTCTGGTTCAAGATTGTGATGAAACAGAGGAGCCATAACATCAGATTTTTTTTTCAAGTCTGAGTTAAGGAAAAAAAACAGCTTAAATGCTTAAGTCGAAGTCCTGAGAACACAGCTCCTGTAAATGCCATGAACCTGATTGATGTTCTCCGAACTGATGGTCCAGACATGACCCCTTAACTTCAATGGCAGAACGTTCTTCATCTCTTCATAGCTCTCTTCCACCATGGCTGCCTCTTTTCGCTTCTCTTCTTTCCAGAGACTCCTCACAAGCAGATCTTTCGTCTCTTTGTCTGGCATCAGATTCGTATCCCTCATGTCTTGGAACACCCTGTAAGCAAGTGCGGCTCTTTCGCATCTGCAATATGCCTGGACAAGTAGCTTTAGCATATACGGGTCTGGTTCGAGACCTATCTGTCTGACCATCGAGAAGAGTCTTTGGACAGTCTGGATCTCTCCTTGCAACGCAAAATGATACATCAAACCTGAAAATGTCTGGATATCGGGGCAAATGTTGTTCAGAATCATCTCATCCAACGTATCCAAAGCCTCTGCATTTCTCCCACATTTCGTCAATGTTCTTAGGAGGGATGAGTATAACAACATCAGACTGAAATCTGAAATCTGGTTGCAGAGTGTCTTGTCATGTCGGAGAACCTTGAGGGCTGCGTCTGGCTTCTTAGAAACACCGTACAGTTCGATGATCAGCCTGATGGTGCTGAAAGGCAGGTTGATCCCTTCGGCTCTCACTTTGGAGAAAAGCTTATCGACCAGTTCTACATTGCCATGGCATGCTAAAAGAGCCATCATTCTCTCGATGGTATAGGCATCATGGGTGAACCCAGGTTGAATCGCCACCCAGCAAAAGAAACTCCATGCAGTTTCCGCCGATTTGAAATTTCTCAGCACCTTACAGACCAACAGATTTGTCCAGATGAAATTAGCTTCTTCCAGAGCAGCTACCGTGCTAGGGTTCCAGTTCTTTAACGCACCCGCCAGAGCTTTTGGGTCCAGCCATGGCTTCAACTTAACTGCAACCTCCTCACCATCACTATCATCACCATCGTTTCTGTCACCCTCTTCATCATCGCTCGGACTCTCCATGGAATAACCATAAATGTCCTTGATTCTCTCATCTGGCGACATTTCTCCCAAGAATTCCTCCACTTCTTGCTCGAATCCCATGTCCTTCATGCGTTTCAGAGGCCCCAGCATACGTCTTCCAGGGAATTTCCCATCAGCCTTCATCTCGGAAAGCAGAGTCTTGACTTCGCCAAACCGTTCTTCACCAACGATTGCTTCAATCAAAACCGAATAATGCTTCAGTGTCCGAGTGATCCTCATCGACGGCAAGATCTTGAAAATGTCCACAGCTCCATCCAGATTTCCCAAATTCACTAGATGCTCGATCATAACCGTGAACGTTCTGGAATTGGGGATCCCTCCTTCGTTGATCATCCTTTCAAAAGTCTCGACCGCCTCATAATCTTTACCCAGTTTTGTGTAAGCTTGCATGACGACGTTATAAGACTCGGTGCAGAGTTTCTCCTCTTCCAAACATCTATACCTCTCCCATGTCTTCAGAACCGAGTTAAAATCGCCAGCCATTGCGTACCAATTCATGAGGTTCATAAAGCTGAAACGAACTTTACCAAATTTGCCAGCATCAACCACCCCAATAAGAGATCTAAGCTCTGAAGATCGGCGAAACTTGGCAAGAACAGTAGCAAGGGCATGCAGTGTATGGATGTCATGAGAAAACTGGCGATTCTTTTGAAGGGTTTTGACGATAGACCAGGCAGAGGCAAGGGAAGGAGCTGAACGTAATGCGTTCTTGACAACGAAAGAGTCGAGAAGACGGTAACTTAACAGAGAAGTCAGCGAGTCACGGTTGGATGCCGAGCGGAGACAGAGACGTATAGAATCGACGAGGTTTGCTCGGTACAAGTAATGCTGGACTTTGTTGGGGAAAGGATCACGTCCAAAAAACCGAACTTGATGGCTGATTGTGGATCTAACTGGGTTGATCGAGTTCAAGAATCTCCTGGAATACATCGGAAAGACAGAGAACAGAAGCACACACGAAGGGGGAAATTCGAAAGATGCTTCCTTAACCGATGATAGACTGAGGAAGATAGATGTTCAAAGGTGATTGAGACAATTCGTCGAACAACTGGTGAACGTTGCCAGATCCAATAATCACAGAGCTGAATACCCACCTGATAAAAACGAAGACACGGCAGGGTTAGTTTCTCACAGATTAAAAAAAAAAGTATAAACAACGACGAAAATTTCAGAAATTTACAGGACATGGTTCAGACAGACTCCTACTACTTTCAGTGAAAGTGAGATTCGCAGTGCGAACACATACTGTAGTATCGTTTCGTCTTGCTAGGTCGAGAAAGATCCTCTAAAGACTCAAACTTTTTTGAGATTCAGCATTGGTTTTTGTAGGCAGCTCACCCAAAATCAACGATCTTGAAGCGGGGCGAATGAAAGCGGTTCGATTGGATCTTGGTATGGATTCACTTGAAACCTTGTATCGTCTGTATGCATTCATATATAGAGATATACACAGAATCCGTCAATGGCATTGCAAACTGAGAGATACAGAAAAAAGTGTCGAGGAAATTAAAGATGAAAACCACAAAAAGTTTTCTAAATACAAAGGTTAATCATATAATCTATACGAGAAATTCCACAGAGATTTTACTCCGCCGCTTAAGCATCATTAACCATTGCTTCTGTAAAGGTACCTTGTAAACCAAGCAAACCAACCAACATAACTGAAGAAACCATCACCACACGTTCCCTCCAGAAACTGTACAAACACACACAGCTCTCTCTCTCTAACTCACTCTTCTTTCCAGCTTGAGTTGGTCGAACACTCTGCCTGAAACAAGCCGTTGCCTGGACGATCTGTCACTGTGTACGGTCTGATGAATGAGCGACGCCACCAGACCTCAAATGCTCCCTGAAGATTCGGACATCCATTACCAGCTGAAAGAAAACTTCCTAGCCATGAAAGCAGAATGCTCTGCTGATCTTCAAGGGGTAGTGTCAGAATCGTCTGGCCGATTCCTTCCTCCACCAGTTTCGCATCGAACCATCTGCAACCGTGTTGGAGCCAGTTATAGTCATTGATCAGCGGTTGCAGCCACATTCTCAGCAGTGCGAGGCGAGTGTCCTTCGATGGCAAGAGTTCTCCTCTGCCTATCCCTATGAACAGCCGTGAAGTCACCCGGCTGATGTGATACCGTAACATCAATGGAAGCTTTTCATGCAATGAAATGAGTTCTTTCTGGTTGGCCCATGTGACAGCGAACTCCTCTGCTCCTTGCCTTTCAGCCAATATGTCAAGCAGCCATGAGAGGTTATCTGCCTCTACAGCTATTTGCTTCGAGGCAGGTTCAGTACCAGTTTCTGCCTCTGCAGCCTGTCTAAACAAAGACAAGACCGAGTCTAAGCAGTTCTGACAAGAGGAATAGATGGTTTCATTGAAGTTGTCAGCTGAGCTGACACTGTTTTGTTCCCTGAGGAGCTTCAAGACTACAGCCTTCATCTCACGGCGGCCCTTTTCCTCCCTGCTTCTGAGAACAAGCTCGATAATGTGGGATAATGTCCCTTTGGGAGGGTCCACTATATCCGAAGCAACTCGTTTGAGGGCAGGCATGACCCCAAAGCCCTTGTGCTTGAGTCTGAGAATCGATGAGATGACTTTCTCTTCTTCTTCCCCAACCCACGGGACCGCTTCCAAGTAATCCAAACATGACTGGATACATGCCCTGAAACCAAGATTTTCCGCAACCTGCACAAGAATTGTAACACCATAAAGACCTTACTACAACTAAACTTAATGAGAGACAGAGCACCTAGAATCACAATCGGTCAGTCTGCAAAATTCAATACAAGGATCAGATGAATACCTTGAGGACACGGAGAACTCGGCTTACACTCTGTTTCATCAATCTGTGCTTCATATCTTTACAATACATTAGTCCTACAGTCTCGATGTATATCTCCACATCCTCGCATCTCTCGATCTCAAGGCACGAGATGCCCGGATCTTTCTCAGCCAGCTTATTCGCAAAGAAACTGCTATTATCCGATAAAACGTTCTTGTGAACACTCAGCTTCACACAAAATCCTTGCTTTCCCAGCAAAATCACTTTCATGTCACTGGTTCCAGGTTCACCAAACTCAATCGCCACTTTTCTAGGCAAAGTCTCCACCTTTTGCCTCTGCGACCTCTCTGGAACCGCCGGAGCAGCAATGTTGCGCATGTCAGAACCAGTAAGTCTCAGACCCTGTTGTTGATCATCGGAGGCAATGATTGATCTTATAGTGGCAGAGGCCGGTTTCTGCTCAGTTTCCGGCTTCTGATTCTTCGGGAAAGAGGGTTTTGGAGGAGGCGATGATGGTTTTGATTTGTTTAGATGGTTTTGAGATTTGAGGGTCTTTTGAAAAGCAGCTGGAGAAGGGCAACACCAGAAGCCTTCAGGTGTTACGGCTATTGGAACACTCCTAATCTTTGTCTGACTCTCTTCCACTTTCGCAAGCCTAATCTCAGCCATTCTGTCACAGCAGCTCACTCATTGACAGAAAACAGACAACAATCTAAACTCTAAAACATGATATTTTGCTCTTAAGCGGGCAAAAGCTTATCTATCAGGACTGAGAAAAATAAACGAATCCTTAAAAGATGTGTAAAAGGAAAAAAAAAAACTCGAATTCCAGTAAAGACTAGTTGTCCAGAACGCCACTTTCTTCAAACTCAATCACAGGGGCAAAGACCCAACCATGGTTCCGGGAACACAATTAATAAGGATTAGGAAACAATGAGCCAACTTTATTCGAGAAAACCGTAGAAAATATGGAAGGAGACCATACCAGGTACTGGGCTATGGAGAATTAGAAGGAAAAACCCTAGAAATACCATATTTGTGATCCCTAAACATCTAAGCCCAGAACTGTGTACAATGACTGAGAGATAGCGGTGGTGGCAAGCATCAAAGGAACGACCAAAGAATCAAAATTTAGCCGCTCCATACGAAGAATCGTTGAAATTTTTAATGCTCCTTTCAATTGCAAAGGAGGAAAAGAGGAAAAGGCAGAGAAAAAGGCGAGACGTCGAAGCAAGAAACGAAGAGAAAGGGATTGACCGAATGAGTCGTGCCCCGATTTCTTTATCTTTGCTTTTACCATTGTCTCCTCTCTCTCTCTCTCTCTCTCTCTCTCTCTCTCTCTCTCTCTCTCTCTCTCTCTCATGCTTTTGATGATTGCATCTAGTTGTGGGCCGTGAAAAAATATTCTATCTCTCTCTCTCTCGGTTAACCATCTTTTTCTCAATGACCGAACAGCCACGCCATCTCTCTCTCTCTCTCGTTATTGCTGGAGCTGTTTTGAGAGTTTATTTTTTCTTGAATGGCTAAAGTTGAAGACTTTATGAAATTAAAAAAATTTATTTGAATCTGAAATTCTTCTGCGTTTCTGTCATGCTCTGTGGGGGCGTTGTCTTGCTGGGTAGAATCCAGAGTGACGTCTACTTAACAAAAGGTCGTCTTCCTGAAGATTTTGCATATTTAATTACATACAACTCGGACCATATATGCATTTAGTTTCTTTTCATTCGTAAAACATTTTTTGTGGGTTTGGTAAAGAGGTCTTACACTGCTACTTATTTCCTAAATATATTTTATATAATCAAACTATATATCTAAACAAAACAAAGTATGCTTTTTACAACTTGATTTTGGGTTTTTGAAACCCTAGACAAGATCATGCCAATTATCATAATTAAAGCCATTATACAATATACAGACCTTGGGTTTGATGTGAAATCATTTATTTTAAAATTTTGGCACGCCTCCAGTGTTAAGTTTAGTTTTCGTATTTATGTATACTGGGAAAATGCATTTATTTTCTTATTTCCAAATCGCAGGTAGGAGAACACTATACATATAACTTTAACAAGTAGCTTTTTCAGACAGAGGATTATAAAATTGCTGTTCTTATGTTTTTTAAAGAGAAAAGACATGACAAAGGCGGTGTGATGGCATTTGCTGGAAACTAGACCCACTTAAAGCGCAAGGGACTACTGAATAATTATTTTCCCGCGAGGAGGGGAAACAAAAAGACGACCAATGATTTCCATATGGTAATTATCACTAATCCTATGAATTATTCCTCTTTGCATGTCCGTGTGGTCGTCTCTTTAACAATCATTATTAAAATTAAAAAAAAATAAATGTGAAATTTGAATCTAACCATTTATTGTGGAAAAAAAAATCGCTAATTTTCGTTCAAACGAATGTGTCCTTGAAAATGGAAGAATTATGAAGGCGAAGGCCCTCGGCTTAAGGGAACAAAGAGACAGCAACCACTTCATCGCGAAACCAGAAAGCGAAGCATGCTTTTGTTTTTTCCCCTCAATCGTCGGTCCAACCTTTTCCCTCATTTATATATTTATTTTGTCTTTACCCATTAAATTACGACTGGAATTTTTTTTGTGTTTGGGCCTTACCGTACCAAAGGATACAGTGGGTTTCTGTTAATGGGCCTCGTATCTTCTTTAAAAACATAAATATTATTATTATTATTATTAATTTATCGGATTCAATTGGTCGGCCCAGAGATCCATGAGATTTACCATGTAACATTATTTTGGGCCGACTTATCAGTTGGCCTTTTGGACACATCATGTTTTGAGGTCGGGCATCTTTCGTGGGCTTTTTAATCGATTATTGCTCGTCTGGTGGGCTTTTTGACAAGTGAAGTTATTGTAGTTTCATTTGAAGTGAAAAGAACAGTGGAAATTAATAAAATTATGTAGATGACCATATGACATTATCACGTTTATCTAGCTATTATGTAATTATGATATGGAACTATTGGGGAAACCACTTAATTAAGACGAATGGGGAAAAAATCATCCTCCGTCTACAAAAGAAAGGATGGGGTTGATGAAGAGACATCATATATATGTGCCTTTTGCTTTCCGTAGAATTGTCCGTTTGTGTTTGGAAAAACCCAACCAAGGGGCATCTGCTTTCACATTTAACCAAAACCTTTTCCTGTTTATTGTTCCCATTTATTGGACCGATTAGTTCGAGATACTATATCATGTTGGTCGTATATCCATTGATTATAATCTCCAAGACATACACACACACACACACACACATAACAAAACAAAACAAAAAACTTAGCATTTGTAAAAATATAGGGAGGTAGCATATCCGCCTGACTCTTTCCAAGTCCAAGGTGGTTTTTTTTTTTTTTTTTTGTGAGCTCCGAAATCGGATAGTATCAGTTTATTCTTACCAAATTTTGTCTGTAATTGACACAAAAAAATGTCCATTCTGAGTTCTGCCTCACCACCATAACAAAGGCATGTTCCAAATTTACAATTTTTCTTTTTCTTTTTTTGCTGGTGGGGTCGACGAAGACGAAGACAGAAGACGAAGACGACAACACAAAAACTTGGCTTGGATTAACTTACTGCTCTTACGTTCAGTAAACGAATAAACAATATTCCTTTTTTATTCCTTTTTTTTTAAACTACGGGAAATTTAGTGTTGTTTTGTATTTCTGTTAAATAAATATAAGCAAACAAAAATATTTATGCCCCATATCTCGATAAATTTAGATTATAAACAAATCAATGCCAAGTAAAAAAAGATTTGGAGCATCAATTGTATTTTAAATTTATAACCAATCAGATGGGGTTGGATACTTTGCATACGACTAGCTGAAACATGACGACAAAAGAAAAGGAAACCAGGATTGGCCACCTCTTCTTCAGCATTGATCTTCGGAAAAAAAAAGATAGAAACTTTTTTAATACGTTCACATTGCAATTTTGTTTAATGCTTCGGCCGTGTGGGATTCTTTTGACAAATGGAAGTCGACTTCCAAGACAGAGACAAAATTCGGACAAAGCAATGGCAATTTTCTCTTCTTTTGTTTCTCCACAAGGAAGAAGGAGAACTCAGACAATTCGCAAGAACACAAACTCTCTTCCTCGGCTCTGCTTTCAACATCCGATGTTTCCTCTTTAATCCCTCACTTTCATTTCTTTTGAGGTGAATCTCTCTGCCTTCTTCTTTCCCGTTTTCCTTTTTCTGTTTAGCAATTTACATTTGGACACTCCACCCTCTTTTTTTTTGCAGCCCCTTAATACTTTTTTGATGTTTGGATGCATTCGTTTTCGCTGCTTTAGGTAAATAATAATTAAACGGAAAAGCAGAATTTAGCTTTTAAGGAAGAACCTAAGCATGGATATGGACATGTTGGTTCACGGGTTAATTGTAGATCAACTGTTCGGTAATATGTCCAAATGTAATTTAACCCTTTGCTTTCTTCCTACGAGCGGAAGCATTTCAAACGAAAGCATAGGGTTTGGGTAGAAAAGTTTCAGACTTTAGATTAAGAGTGTGAAGTGATGAGGTTATTACGACTTGGGCTATGTGATATCCATTACTAATCGGGATATTTGAAAGCATCATGGGACCTCTTAATGTCTCTGTCTATGGAAATCCAGTAACTCTTATTGAGGTGGAGAGGGGCGGTCACCAACTCCAACTATCGGGAAATAATCTAGAAACTGGAATTGATAAATTTTATTATTATTATTATCGTATAAGATCAATTGATGTTAGTATTACATTTTGTTTGTATAATTAAAAATGTATTATTGATTGTTTAATAATGGTCATATTTTTCTTTTCTTTCGTGCCATAATCACTCAGTCTAGTTTGACCATCTAATTCTCTCCACCATTTTTTTTTGGTTGAAAAATTGTCCGACTCTTGGACACGTCGATATTTGACACGAGGGGAGTGTCTTCTTCTCCTCTCACTGCGAGGGGCCAGTTCCAACTTTTCTTCTTCAATTGAACCCGCCATGCTCGTTTTGTTCCTTTTAATGCAAAAAGCCTTCCCCTTTACCGCAAAAAGCCCGAAGATTCTAAATCTAACATGTAATTTGGCGTCTTACAGGTGAAGATTCACATGCCATTTGTCACAAAGGCCTCTGCTTTTCAGGATTTGTGTGAAAAATCGAAGTTTTTATTCTGAGTTCTTTGCACTCAGACTGCAAAGTTTCTAAGATTTCAATGAGCGCATCATGGGTCTTAAGGGTGCGTTGACGTAGAAGAAGAAAAGTTTAGGTATTTGGTGGAGTTGATAAACTGGGCGGTTTCCGACCAAACCTTTTTCGCATTCACAAAGGCGGTAATTCTTGTTTTCTCTGACATTCTCGGCATTTTCCTCCGGTTTCTTGGAAAGATTACGCTTTCCGGCAACCGAGGGGCGTAAAGTCGCCGCCTTTGTGGTATTTCTCAGATAATGGGATTTGGGGTCGGTAGTGGAGGCAGTAAAATGTTGGATTTCGGAACGGTCCAAATGCATAAGCGTTCAAAGAGGTAAGCTGTCAAATGTTCTGTTAGTTTTCTTACAAATTTGTTCATTGTATCTTGTAAATTACTCCAAATTTATATCTAATTTCTGTTAAAGGAATGCCTGTCTGAGATGACTCATGGAGAAACTGGAACTTTGAGACATAAGCGAGTTAAAAAGATAGAAACCATAGTTGCAAAGTTACAGATCTTCTGTTTGGCTTTTCCATATAGAGTTTGGTTGTGATTTTGTGGTCCAGAACATACAATGGACTGAAGTTTTAGTCCATTCTCGTTGGCCTTCCTGCTAAAACTTACTTGAAATGTCCCAAAGCATGGTATATCAAATTTTCTCTTCTTCCTATGGTTGATATTTTAGTGGATAAAGCTGAAAGTTCTTGCTATTTTGAAAAACAACTAACAGATGGGTTTAAGAAACATTCTTGTTAGATGTATTATTGGTGAAAGGTGTATGATCATGTTGCAGAGTTTTGGTTTGCGGAATATATTCTTGATATGAGAGGGGAAAATTATGTGGATAATTCCATTGATTCTTGATGTTTGGTCTTTGTGTAATGACAGCTTTCCAGATAAGAAAAGAGCCGAGGGAGATAACAACTCGACTAGTTATGTTGAAGCCTCCCAACGCATCAAGCTCGTGAGTTGAATTCATCTGTTCCTCCTTTTGCTTTTAGAACAAAAGGTTTAAAGCTGAGAAACAAAAAGTATTAGTATGTGTTAAAAGAACAACAGCTTAAGAAGCTGCAACATGATTATTGGATTTATCTTTCTGTTTCTTTGACTAATAAGTATCTTTTTCTTTTTCCTTTTTCTTCTTCATCTTTTGTAGATCTTTTGACAGGACGCTGTGCTTTACTTCTTTGTATTCTTGTTCTTTGTCAGATATTCTTTCAAGGAATTTTCTTTCTGGTGTTATGATAGAGAAATCGATCTCCATCACAAAATATTTCCTTTTCATCTGCATTTTTGTTTGCTGGGTCACAAGATTGGGACCTCCTCTTAGACAGGTTTTTGTTTATGGATCTTTCTTGACTTGGTTCAGGACATGGGTCACTCAACTGAGTTAACCAGAACCAAGCAGAAGCAATCTTCTCCAAGCACCGATGTCCAAAATTCATTGAAGCAAGAGGTAGCAGTATGGACTTGCTATTTGGTTCGCATCCCATATTTCATTTGCCATGCTCTAAAGCCTAAACTTTATTTTGTGACTGAAATCGCAGATTATACAGCTTGAAAGGAGATTGCAAGAACAGTTTAAGGTTCGTTCTGCATTAGAAAAGGCATTGGGTTATCGAACTTCGTCAATTTACATGGCGAGCGAAACAAAAGAGATTCCCATGCCCAAGGTCAGTTACTTCCAGTTATCAAACTGAATAGTTTGGAACTTATCTCTGTGCAACTGAGATGCGTTCTTGGTATATCTTTCCAGCCAACCACACAGTTAATCAAAGAAATTTCAGTTCTGGAGTTGGAAGTTTTGCATTTGGAGCAGTATCTTCTTTCATTGTACCGGAAAGCCTTTGAGCAAAAAATCTCCTCCGTGTCTCCCCCACAGTCTGAAAAGACAAGACATAAGTCTCCTGCAATGATCCCTAGATGGTGTCTAGACTTCTCTGAGGCGGATACAACGTTGGAAGCGGATCAATCTCCAATCCATTCTACAAATCCCACGTTTGATGATAATAAATCAAAGGAAATCGATATCTCTGTTGGAGACAGGAGCCAAATAGATGCGAGTGTTCATCGTAGCCATTCCGAGCTCTCTCAACGGTCAGCATTTGATGGTAGAACTTCCCCCGAAGATTCTCGTGCTAGAGCTGTCCGTTCATGCCATTCTCAGCCGTTGTCTAAATCAGAGGTCAATTTTACAAGTTACCTTCATTACAAAAAAAAATATATTGAAACACCTTGGAAGAAAAAGGCCTGATGATGATTTGTCTCTCTTGTACAGTATCCCCAGAATGGAGAAAATCTGATCAGTTTGGCTGAACATCTCGGCACACGAATATCGGATCATGTTCCAGAAACACCCAACAAGCTATCCGAGGAAATGATCAAGTGTATGTCAGCCATATATTGCAAGCTAGCCGAGCCACCTTCAGTGATCCAAGACCTTTCATCTCCAAGCTCATCTTTATCATCAACGAGCGTGTTTTCCCCCTCTGATCAGTACAACACATCTTTCGATGTACGATTGGATAACCCTTTTCAGGTAGAAGGGCTCAACGAATTCAGTGGGCCTTATAGCACCATGGTTGAAGTGCCTTGCATTTACAGAGATGTCAAAAAGGCCAGCGAGGTTGAAGATCTGCTCCAAAATTTCAAGTGAGTTGTTTTAACGTGATGGATGAAATATGATATTTCGATTTCATATAACGGTATTTCCATGAATCCCACAAAAGTAGTATGCACCGACATGAGCTGTAGATGTTTTGGGTTTAGTAAAACATGAACTCTCAATAGAGGAATCAGATTCAGGTGTCTTGAAATGGGCTCTTTTTCTGCTGCATATGCCTGAACTATGTGTATTTGTACTTCAATAGTGCATCTTTTGTGTGATTTATTACCAATAGTCCATATGCAATTGTTTCTTTCAGATCGCTCATCAGTAGACTGGAACATGTGGATCCAAGGAAGTTGAGACATGAAGAGAAACTAGCTTTCTGGATAAACGTGCACAATGCACTTGTGATGCATGTAATCCTCTCTTGCTACAATCTTTTCCAGCCCTCTTATTTGTAGATTTCTGATGCAATTCCTTGCAATCATATCAGGCGTTTTTAGCTTATGGGATCCCACAGAACAATGTGAAGAGAGTTCTACTGCTACTGAAGGTGCGTGCGCGCTAGTCGCAAGCTCACATCTGTCTTCACAAGTTATAAAAAAACGGGTAATATATTTGTGTTTGATGATTCAGGCTGCATATAATGTAGGCGGCCACACAGTGAGCGCTGACGCGATACAAAGTTCGATCCTTCGATGCAGAATGTCTCGTCCTGGACAGGTGCCTAAAGAAAAATCATATTTCTGATGTCTTAAAAACGCTTGTTCTCAGCATAAAGAACATACCGACATGAAGTGAAAGCTTTCACCTTTTTTTTGTGGGCAGTGGCTCAGATTATTGTTTGCTTCGAGGAAATTCAGAGAAGGGGATGAACGTATGGGATACGCGATCGAGCATCTCGAGCCTCTCCTATACTTTGCACTTACATCAGGCAGCCACTCTGATCCTGCGGTACTAAATGAACAGACCACTCTTATTGCACATTTTCTATTTACGAGCCTCTCAACCCACATGCTAATTTTCTCGACGAATCCGTGTTCCTTGGAATCTGAATATATGGCAGGTACGTGTATATACAGCGAAAAGGATACACCAAGAACTAGAAACGGCCAAAGAAGAGTACGTAAGGGCGAGCTTAGGCGTACGGAATGGGAAGATGGTATTACCGAAGCTTGTGGAGACATTTGCGAAGGATTCGGGCTTATGCGTGACGGAGATGGTCTGGAAGATTCTACCGGAATCGTCGAGGAAATGCCTGAAGAGATGCAAATCAAGGAGAGGCATCGAGTGGATCCCTCACAGTTTCGGATTCAGGTATTTGATATCCAGAGAGGCTGTCAGATGACATCCCTCTTTCTTGTTCATGTTTATTATCTGTAAGCTCATGTGGAGCGTTTGGGTGCTTCTTCTGATGATCCCTCGGGCAAGTTTTTTTGTAAATTGTTTTTTCTCGCAGATCCCATGACTCTGTCAATGGATGTAAAAAACTTCGTGACCGGATTGTTGATTTTTTCATTAAACTTGTAAAAAATGTCGACGGTTTTGAAGAATTGTCATTTTTACAGGGAATAAATCACATTGAAATGTTCAACCAATGAGAATTTCACTGGAATAATATCATTCAAAATCTTTTAAAAAAGCAATATTTCTGTATTCAGCATGAATCGGTTGTTGATAAAAAAAAACAACGTTTTTACAAGAGGTGTTTATTTAGATATTACATGAATTGTGACGTTGTCAGCCGACAAAAAGAACAAAAAAATGGAAGAGAAACTCTGGACGCTGCTTCGTCACGGACATTAAAGAGAAGTTATTGGATCTTGTCTTATCCTCAGTTACCCCTTTGTACCACTTGGTTTTATTATTTAAATTTAAAATAAGCCGAATCTTATACATAATGATTCGTTCTGGCTATACTTTTATTGTAATCAACTCGCGGGAAATGCATGAGAGATCAACTCCAACATATAATGTAATAAATAAAAGAAAAAAAACAAAACACAAACACTTCACTGCTGAAC